GTAATGGTTTTTGTTGTCAACTGGTAAATTCTAAATTATATTTAATAAAATTGTTCGCTAAACAAATACTTTTAAAAAATGATTATATTCATGCATTTTTAAAATTTTATAAATTTATATATAAAATACACTGCGAACATTCTGGCAATAAAAAGTTTGTGATTGAATTTGATCAGAACTTGATCAAAGACTGCAGTATTGAGAAAGTTATGCGTGATAAATGCCAGATCATCCCATTTCAATAATAGCATTAAGATTATAAATTGTCAACAGCTCGTTCTAATAGCTCGTTCCTCGGTCTATTTCCAGTTTGTAGAAATTTGATTCCTTTATTTCGTACAACTCCAGAAACTTGCTGATAAATGACTGCAGTAATAAGAAAGATATACGTGATAAAATTCCATTTCAATAATAGCATTAAAATCAGATAGAGAGCTTGGTCAGAAATATTTTGAATTTGTGAAGATTGTTGTAGATTTGTGCGATATTCAGTTTTTTTTCAATTATATATATATTATGAGAACTCCGTCAGAAATATTTTGAATTTGTGAAGATTGTTGTAGATTCAATTTTTTTCAATTATATATATTAATATTATTCCTACAATGCATTATGATATATATTAATTTTCAACAATACAGCGATAATAAAGTTAGATATTAATTATATAATTATTATTATATACATCAATCATTGATTCCCATATATAATAATGACAAAAAAAATTAATAATAGTATATATAGTAGTAATTATCAGATGGAAAGTTAAAAATAAACATATAGAACGTGTTAATTTCATCATAGGTCTTCTATTAATAAATGTTTTATTGTTCTTCTAAAGGCATTTATGAATGCAGTCTTTTTAATGTTAAACAATACAAAAGTTGAAAATGGGACTTGAGTTCAGTTCTATTACTATTACAACATATAATACAGGATGTTAATAGAAATACTTTTAAAAAATGACTATGTATTTTTAAAAATTTATAAATTTATATATAAAATACACTGCGAACATTCTGGCAATAAAAAGTATGTGCTTGAATTTGATTAGAACTTGATCAAAGAATTCATTGAAAGCATAAAGGACTGCAGTAGTGAGAAAGACATGCCAGATCATCCCATTTCAATAATAGCATTAAGATTATAAATTGTCAACAGCTCGTTCTAATTGCTCGTTCCTCGGCCTATTTCCAGTTTGTAGAAATTTGATTCCTTTATTTCGTACAACTCCAGAAACTTGCTGATAATAATAAATGACTGCAGTAATTAGAAAGATATACGTGATAAAATTCCATTTCAATAATAGCATTAAAATCAGATAGAGAACTTGGTCAGAAATATTTTGAATTTGTGAAGATTGTTGTAGATTTGTGCGATATTCAGTTTTTTTTTCAATTATATATTAATATTAATATATATTCGTCCGGGAGACACTTTGCCAGAGCTCAGAAAACAACTTCAGGATCTTGAGGAAAAGTCTGGAGTTGGAATAAAGACCAACAAAGATACAATGTACTGTTTTGACAATGAATCTTTTAGATTTCTAGCAGCACTTACAGATATATACAAATTTTACAAGTTTTAGATATTATTATTATTATCATTGTTTCCCAATATCATTAAAATCAGATTGAAAAGTTTAGATATTAATTAATATTTATTATTATTATAATTATTATTACATCATTGATTGTTTTATTTTTCTTAGTAACTCCAATTCAATTCGGGTCAATAAATATCCCTACAAAATATCTCACAATCCTCCTCTCCCATTCAAAACACCCAATTTAGTTTATATATAATAATGACAAAAAAATTAATATATATAGTATATAAGTAATTATCAGATGGAAAGTTAAAATAAACATATATAGAACGCGTTAATTTACATCATAGGTCTTTATAACAAAAAAATATTGATTCTTAATAAAGTAATTAATCGAATATAAAATGAAAATGAATCGAAAAAATATTAATATTTTTATCAATCATTGATTCTAATATTTTTATTAATATAGAATAATAATAAAAAAATATAAAAGTAATATATAGACAAAAATTAGTCAATTCTTGATTTTTTTTAAATATTCCTCAAGAACTGACTAATTTTTATAACAAAACAACGAGTCATATAAACCCGAAGAGTTATTAAGATGCAGCGAAGATTGAGACCGAGTTTTCTCAAAATCATATTGAATATGGATCTTTAAAGCCAGTTCTTTCCCAAAATAATTTAAAATCTTTTTTATCATCAAGATTGGGTTTGATGGGTGCTGATCAAGCATCCAAAAACATAATAATAATCTATCATTAGGAAGTACAAAAAGCATAACTTTTCATTTCCTTTAAGATGCCTTAATAAACCGTAAAAAAGTTTTTCTATGAAAGGAAACATCTGCTGGAAAAGATTTCAAGAGATGAAATTCTCATCATATTTAATTATATTTTACATTTAATGTTAATATGTTTATAATATTTATATATATATATATTAATAGCAAAGTGCCAATATATTCTCAAAACTCAAGAAATTCGATATTAAACTTGAAACAATACAGCGATAATAATAATAAAGTTTAATTACAATTAAATATTTATTTTAACCGAGTCGTTGTATAATAATAACAAATGACTAAATTGGGTCAATGAATTTTATACGTAATTGTTCCTACGTATATATATTAATATATATAATAATAACAAATGAATAAATTGGGAATCAATGGATTTTATAATTGTTCCCAACCAAGCCTCTGTATAATAATAACAAATGAATAAATGGGAATCAATTAGTTTTATAATTGTTCCAAACACCAAGCCGCTGTATAATAATAACAATTGAATAAATTGAGAATTAATGAATTTTATAATTGTATATATATATTAATATATTAATATTAATATTATTCATTTTTACCAGATAACAAATTGAAAACTTATTATAATAATAATAATAATAATAACAAATGTTAAAATTTATTTTATGTTTTATTATTTAAAAGATACATCCGTTAATTAATCCAACACATTCATCAGTGAAAAATCATTTAATTTCTGAAATATTCCTTCTGATGTTGTTGTTGACACTGATCCAACAAAAACATCAACATTTAAATTCATACTCAAACAATCATTTATTCGCCTCAAGCAGACAATTAGATAAATGCATAACGGTATTCATTTGGAACCACCGAATCTCAAAGGAGATATAACGATTAATACATATTAATTATTAACAGAAATAAAATAATAGATGATAGTAGACCATTTATGAACGTTCTTTCTTTCATCTGAAATCCTTATTTCTTAATATTAATAATAATCATTAAACCTGAATTCTTCATCAATAATAAAAATAAAGAGTTTGATTAATTCCTTATTATTATTTCTTAATAATAATCATTAAGCCTGAATTCTTCATCAATAATAAAAATAAAGAGGTTGATTAATGCCTTATTTCTTAATAATAATCATTAAACCTGAATTCTTCATCGATAATAATAATAAAAATAAAGAGTTTGATTAATTCCTTATTTCTTAATAATAATCATTAAACCTAGATTCTTCATCAATAATAAATTTGGAAAAGCCAACTTTCTGGTTTTTGTAAAAATGATAATGGTGACATTGACTCGTTGTTTTGCAGGGTGTGAGTGGAAAAATAAAGAGTTTGATTAATTCCTTATTTCTTAATAATAATCATTAAACCTGGATTCTTCATCAATAATAAATTTGGAAAAGCCAACTTTCTGGTTTTTGTAAAAATGATAATGGTGACATTGACTCATTGTTTTGCAGGATGTGAGTGGAAAAATAAAGAGTTTGATTGATTCCTTATTTCTTAATAATAATCATTAAACCTGGATTTTTCATCAATAATAAATTTGGAAAAGCCAACTTTCTGGTTTTTGTAAAAATGATAATGCGTGAGCCACGTGGCCATTTTTTCTCTTATCGTGAATATAAACGAAACTTTAGGCCATCGGCTTTAATGTCTCATTAGAAAAAGAAGAGGTGAGGATTGATTATTGTCGAATCCATTTGAATTTAATTAATATTTAAACACTATTTTGGGTCAGTGTCAACAATATTAATATCAAAAGAATGTTTCAGAAAACTCAGATTTTTGTTTGATGTTGAGTTGCCATTAGTATTTTATATATAGCAATAGTAATAGTAATAGTGTTTGTATTAGGGCGACTAATTTTTGACGTTAAAAAATTTTCTTTAAAATTTTGATTTTTGTTATTTTACTTCTCAAATTAGCATAGTAGAAGTTTGTTGTTACATGTAATGTTGTTGCTTCTGAAACTTTGCCAGTATATAGTTGTTACCTCTCTAAATTGGAGATCAAGTTCAGATCCAATTCAAATCCAGTTTATCACTTATTTTTTATTGCCAGAATGTTTGCCGTGTATTGTAAAGCTACGTTGCACAATATAAAAAATTAGTGTAACATTTCAAATTTCCACTGTGTTTCTCAAATTATTAAAAGTTTATATGTATGTAGCTTTTAATTATATTAATATCAATATCCCTTTTTATTATTATTAAATATATATACATTGATTCCCAAATATACTTTTTATTTTTATTAGTATCATCATCCATTGATTCCCAATTAGAAAATACATTGATTCCCAAAATATACTTTATTATTATTATTATTATTAAAAGCTTCAAAACGTAACTTTACAATACATGGCAAACATTGAATAAAAAGTAAGCGATATATATAAAAAAAGCAAAGTGGAAATGTTATATACACTAATTTTTTATATTGTGCAATGTAACTTTTCTTATTCGTTTTTCATACTCGTGACAATTTTTCCTATTGAATAAAAATTATAAAATAATAATAAATATTTATCATCAAAAAGGAAATCTGGCATGGATTGTCATAGAAATAAGTTTTTAAAAAAACTACTTGTATAAAACATAAGCTTCATTATGTGCTGGAATTTTTTATCTTCTTATCGCTTCTTAACAAATAATTATCATTTACCAACTGTTGATTTTGACTTTTTTTCTTTAGCTAATTCTTCTTGAAGTTCCTTGATTTCGTTACATTGATTGTTCAATTCTTCAAACTCGGCCGCAAATTCTTCGTTTTCGGTTATTAATGAATTCAATGTACATCTTAAATCATCAAGTTCACTTTCATATTTTTTTATTTCTTTTATTGTATTTTCGGCTTCTAAATTGACAAAATCATTAAAACTTATTAGCTATTTGTGTCTTTTTATTTTCATTTATATCTTTGTATTCTTTAATCTTTTGTTTGATAATGTGGGAGATATTTGCCTGAAATGCCAAATGATGCAGAGGTTTCACGAAAATAAGACGCGTAAGTTTTCGTTCATCACCACTGCTTATATATCAGATTCTTTGGTGTTCGGGGGCAACATATGATACAATTCCAGATTTATCTGATGATTTATCATCACTCTTATTCAAACAATCTAATCATAAAATATTTAAAACAAAGAATTTATGTAACACAACCCTCTACAAAATAGATAAATAAAACGTGGTAAAAATAAATTTAAGGGATTAAAAAAATTTCTTTGTTCAAATATTATTTTTTTATTACTATATATTATCTAGGGGTATGGGGGGGGACAACTCAAAGTTACACATATAGATTTGTCAATTTCAAAACTGTCACCCCATATGAAATTCATAGTGTT